TTGGCGTTTGGAGTGTACACCTCTTTGCTCTCGTTGAAGGTTGCTCGCTTTAATTGCCAAAACACTTCTCTTTTTGAGTTGAGTTAATTATTTAGCCAATGAAATCACTAGGGTTATCTTTGACTTTGACCACTGGATGCTTGTTTTTAATGTGAAAAGTGTTCTTCATAGTGATGTTGTTTCTGTGAAGTTTTCTAGTGGCTCTGCTGTACAGAGATGTTGTTTTCTACTCAACGTTGCACAGATGTTTATGCTGAAAAGGGGTCGGTGGGTGTCTTTGGGCTCCCTCAGCCCCCTCTCTTTATCTCTCTTTATCTCAGACACTCTGTGGGCGTGGCAGTTTTCAGTGTTTGTGTAAAACACAGCTTGAACATTGATATTAAGTTCATATTTAAAAAAAAAATGAAAAAAGAAAATTGTAACATCCACTTGTCTACTTTTGTAATCTTTTTTCCTATTCACCTGATTCACTGGGTGAATATTTTAAAATGCTATTGAAATGGCCTGTTTTCGGTGGCCTACTTTCTCCCATTTAAAATTAAAAGAAGAGCTGAGGGTGTTTTTCCCCTTTAACTTTATGGCTTGTCATGCTTTTGAACACCAGATAAATCCTGCAATGACACCACCTCAGCAAAATCTTCAAGGCTGTCAAATCTATAAAGCAACAAAGCACTGTTGAGTGACCCAGCCTCTCGCCGTCATCCATGTCTTAATCCACGCTGCCTTATGAGATATCAAACCCCTCTATATGATATGCAATACACCCATGTGTTTTGCTTATCTTGAAATACGTTCACATCAAATTAAGTTGTAGTTGGCCTCTTGAATTCAAGGACATTTAAGGTATACTCTTAAAGGTATAAAAATTCATGCACAGTTTGTATCTTACTGGAATTAGTGAAGTCTTACTCCCTGTAAACACCATTTATAATCTTGTAATGCTCTGCATGACTTTACTCTATACTTGGCTTTGTGTGTGTGTGCTTCGATGATCACTGCACTATGTTTACACTTAAGCCTCTACTGAAGCTCACAGCGCTTTTGGAGATATACAGTATATACACAAATGTTTTCAGAGAAGAATGAATTATTTTGATGAAGTGAATTATATAACAGTGGATGGAGCTCTCGTTGGTTACAGATACAAGAATGAAACGGCTGCTGCCCTTTTCTGAAGCCACAACACTTTGATTATTACTGCATTATTCTGCCTTCCCCTTTGAACGGTGAATATTCAGTTTGCACTCAAAAAAAGTATTATGCATTTAAACATTAAAAAGCTGGGTGGTTATTTGGACTGTATTTTATATTTATTTGTATTTTACTTTTTTTGGTACACTGCAAGAGGTTTTAAGACACTGTAAATAAATATTTTTTCATTCTCTGTTCATGTTTGGTTGAGCACTAGTCCATTTTTAATTTTGTGCAATATTTGAAGGGCAGCGTTGCTAGTAAGGTTTAGACCTGCTGTTTCTTCCATCATTTATACAAACTTTCTGTGTGGTTTTGCACCACAGATGTGAATTCAGCAAATATGAATGCCAAACATTTTGGCTTGACCATTAAATTGTCATACAGACACAAGTGAATCAAGAATGGAAAAGGAAGGTTTACGTACTGAGTGGACCGCAACGCTTCTTAACTGATTCAGGATTGTCCTTTATACTGATATTGTGTTTGTAAATAAACATGTTTCACTTTTATCACTTGTATGTTTATGGATTCATTATCATTTATATGATTCATGATGACTGTATGTGACTGTGTGAGAGTGAGGATAGTGCAGGAGCATACCTGAGTATTATACTCAGGTATGCTTGTGATTTTTGGTTTAACCACCACATATTGTACAGCGGGTCATTTATAAGCTCTGATCACAATGTCAAATCTTGTTATAAATGTGATTAGTTAAAAGAAAAGTGTAGAACTATTGTTTGGTTTACAGGGACAAATGAGATTTGACTCTGCTATTATCTCTAGGTTGGTTAATCTGATGTTGAAAGATCAATTTGACCAAGCTCTGCCCTTCACCTTGATACCTGCATTATCAGGTTTCAGGTGGCAGCAATAAAGAAAATGGGATAATCTGTCTTATGTAACAATGATAGAAGAATTAGTTCTTTCATTAAGATGGGACTTGCTAAAGACAGAAGTTATATAAGAAAATGTGTTGGTTTTTTTTCATTATCATGTTGAAATGTTGAAGATTAAATTTAGTTGCTATCTAGAAAATGTGTAACAACCCTCAAATCAAGACATAAATACATATTTCCCTGAACAAATGACATGAAGACGTTTCTATTGCCATACGGAGTGCTTTTGTTTTTATATATATTTTAGTGTTGTCTTGCAAAACTACATTATGAATGAAGACATCTAACAAATTAGAGGTCTCATACCAATTGCTCATTTCATTTCATTTCTCACCTCACATCTCACTAATTAATTGGTTTATTTAATCTGTAGAAAGTATAAAAGCTCTGGTTTTGCAGGTTTTATTGTTTAATCAAACAAGATATAGCAGGTTAATAGGTAGCTAGTTCATAAGAGTGGTATCATTCCTCTTATCTTACTTTTGACAAGAAAGCTTTTAAGTATGTTTCCTATTCTATATTGTGATTTATACACGTGCTGTTGTCTGTCTGTCTGTATGCGTGTGAGTGCAGGTAAATGCAAGATGCCCCCAGCCCGTAAAGCGATCTTGACACCATGAATAATGGAAAGTGCAGCGGCACAGTGGATAAGTTCTCTGTGCAAGGCTCCTTTTTCACAGGGCTTTCTCCCATGGGTCACGTGAGCACAGAGGTGACAGTAATTTTTCATGAGTAGTGTGTGTTCTTTGTATGGCCATATACTGCCCAGGTAGGAGATGTCCAGATAGCTATCTCTCCCTCTACATATTTTGGTATATCTTGAGTTGCTATACCTGCAGCTGCACACACCCAGGCTGCAGTGAACCCCAGGACCTTCCTGAAGCCAAGGGTCAAATGAGTTGTCTTACACCATTAGAAACTCAATGCAGCACTTACGAAACTAAAGGCTAAGGAAGTAGATGAATAAAAGATGCCGTTAAAGCCGAAAAAGTCCACAGGTTCAGAAGATACCGAAGAGGTGGATGACGAAGTGGAGGAAACAGAGCCAGAGTTAAAGGAGAGGACAAACGATGTGACCCTTGGGGACACCACAAAAAGAGAGAAGAGTCGGAAAAAGCACAAGAGCACAGAGAGTTCTAAGAATCAGGAGGCCCCAGAGAAAGTGAAGAAGAAGAAAAAGAAACCAGATGATGATTTTGAAGCTAGTGCTGTGATTGAACATGAAGCTGAAGAGGGTGAGCAGAACAATAATGACCCCAAAACCAATTCTGAAAAGGAGAAGCTCAAAGATGAAGTGACAGAGGGAGCGAAGGAGGAAAAGAAGAAAAAGAAAAAGAAATCCTCCACAAAGAATCCAGAGGGAGAGGAGGAGATGGGCTCTAAGGATAAAAAGTCTAAAGACGGCAAGAAGAAGAAGAAGTCTCACAACAATGATGATGATGAGGATCCTCTAACTGAGGAGCAGGAAGAGGAGGAGGACTCAAAGAAAAAGAAAAAGAAGAAGGCAAAAAAGGAGTCTGTGGACAGTGATGAAGACAAAAAGAAAAAGGGAAAGAAATCCAAAAATAAACAGGTGGACTATGCTGCAATCTACCAGAATGAGCTGCTGAATTACCACACAGACTCATCTGATGGATATGAGGATGAGTACTTCAAAAAGAAAGGTAAGGATTTAAAATTCTAGTGCAGAGAGAAAAGCATTATAAGTCTCAACCATCTGACTGACCGTACAGTATGTACCTGTACTAAACTTTAAATACAGATTTTCTCCATTTCCCCTCAGCTATGAGCAGGGGACCCCAGGGGAATTCTTCTGTGATTGTTCCTGGGTGAAAGCTCAGTTATGTTCCACATGAATGGAGCCAAACAGAGGCTTGGGGGCAGACAAGTGCTGGGTGCCGTCCCAGTGCAGGGTCTGGGAGCACCAGCGGGGCCAGACGCAGGGCTGGGAGCCAGGAGAACTGTTTTCAGAAGAGGTGTAGGGA